TCTTTTCATTAAGGAGTATTTGGATCTTATGTATGTTTTTTTCTTCTTTATATGACTCATTTTAGATATTAAAAAAATGGAGCATGTGACTGAGACTTACCAGGAAGGTCCAGATGAATGTCTGTATGACGTAGTTGTCACAAATAGACAATAGAGGAAAGAGTGAGATTAGTGACAACTTCTAACTTGACCTCAAAACAGAAGACATATCTGAATAGGAATGATGAGAACTCCTTAAGAATGAGGACGGACGAGTTCATTCAGTGTCAGAACACGCTCTCCTACAATGAGTCTGGTAGTGAATGTGAGAAATCATTTAGTAAGGATTTATACCTTACAAAACCTGAGAGGAAATATCCAGAGAAGCCTGATGAGTATAAGCAATATGCAAAATCTATCTCTAAGACGTCAAAACTAAGTTCTGACCAACGTCAAACAACACCAGAAGAGAAACCCTATGAATATGAAGAATGTAGGGAATTTTCCACTCAAAAGTCAGGTCTCAGGAGGCATCACAGAACTGACACAGAACAGAAGTTTGATGAATGCAACAAATGTGGAAAATCATTCAGAATGAAGTCATACATCACTTTGCATCAGAGAATACACACAGGACAGAAATCTTATGTACGTGACAAATGTGGAAAGTATTTCAGACAGAAGTCAGACCTTACTGTACATCAGAGAACTCATACAGGAGAGAAACCTTATGAATGTAACAAACGTAGAAATTTTTTTTACCTGTAATGCACACCTTCATCTTCATCAGAGAACAAACACAGGAGAAAAACTATTTGAATGTAACAAATGTGGAAAGTATTACAGACAGAAGTCAGACCTTACTGTCCATCAGAAAACACACACACTTATGAGTGTAACAAATGTGGAAAGTATTTCAGATCAAATCACACCTTACTCTCCATCAGAGAAAACATACAGGGGAGAAACCTTATGAATGTAATGTGTGTGAAAAGTCTTTCACCTATAAGTCATACCTTACTGTTAATCAGAGAACACACACAGGAGAGAAACCTTATAAATGTAACAAATGTGGAAAGTATTTCATACTTAGATCATGCCTTACTCTCCATCAGCGAACACACACAGGAGAAAAACCTTATGAATGTAATGTGTGTGAAAAGTCTTTCACCCATAAGTCACACCTTACTGTTCATCAGAGAACACACACAGGAGAGAAACCTTATAAATGTAACCAATATGGAAAGTATTTCAGAGTAAAGTCACAGCTTATTGCTCATCAGAGAATACACACAAGAGAGAAACATTATGAATGTACAAAATGTGGAAAATATTTCAGACGTAAGTCACACCTTACTGTCCATCAGAAAACACACACAGGAGAGAAATCTTATGAATGTAATGTGTGTGGAAAGTCTTTCACCCATAAGTCATACCGTACTGTTCATCAGAGAACACACACAGGAGAGAAACCTTATAAATGTAACAAATGTGGAAAGTATTTCAGACTTAGATCGTACCTTACACTCAATCAGAGAATACACACAGGAGAAAAACCTTATGAATGTAATGTGTGTGAAAAGTCTTTCACCCATAAGTAACACCTTACTGTTCATCAGAGAACACACACAGGAGAGAAACCTTATAAATGTAACCACTGTGGAAAGTATTTCAGAGTAAAGTCACAACTTACTGCTCATCAGAGAATACACACAGGAGAGAAAAATTATGAATCTACAAAATGTGGAAAATATTTCAGACATAAGTCACACCTTATTGTTCACCAGAGAACACACAGGAGAGAAACCTTATGAATATATCAAATGTAGAAATATTTCACATTTAGATCATCAGAGAACACACAAAGGAGAGAAACCTTATGAATGTAACAAATGTGGAAAGTATTTCAGATTTAATTCATAACTTACTCTCCATCAGAGAACACACACAGGAGAAAAACCTTATGAATGTAACAAATGTGGAAAGTCCTTCATTTGGAGTTCATACCTCAGGAAGCATAAGAGAATCCACACACATGAGGAACCTAAGGAATGTGATAACTATGGAAAGTCTCACCTGAAAGAAAAATAAATTTTCATGATAGAACCAAAACCTGATAGAAGCCTTGTGAATGTAGCAAATGTGCAACCTTTTAGCCAGAAGACATACCTCATGGTTCCAAATTGAATGAACACGGGAACAAAATCTTATTAATAAAAAAATTGGAAAGTTTTCAAAAAGTCATAGTTAAATTTTCAACAGAAAGCAAACAGGAGAAAAACATTATGAATGAAACAAGTATCAACCGGTGGACCTGTTGCAACAATGAGAAGTACAAGTTGTCATGTCCAAAACGAACTTTACACGTTCGGTGCGGGGAGGGGGGAGGATTGGGATTCGGTGGGGTGGGGAGGGGGGACCCGGGCATGGATGTCCACTCAAACGGGAGACCCACCCCTTACTCCGGCCGACCGACCCCGCC